GACCTTTGTGATCATTCACAGATTTCACAAGTAGTAAGCAATGATGTCAGAAGTGACATCTTGTTCATTATTATTCATGTGGTCACTGATTGGCCAATCAGTGATCACATGATCCGGACCTCACACAGAGGTCCCATACAGCGATCGGTGTTCTGCTGTGTCTGGAGGATACAGTGGGCACCGGATTGAGGTGCAGTGCGATCCAAGGGAGCGTGCACAGGCAGGGTAGTGGGAGGACGTTTATAAACAGCAACCAGCTCCTGTGCTGCTCCCATCTGGCCGTTTATGTATATGGGCTGGACGGGAAGTGGTTAACCTCCTTAGCGGTATTCCCCGAGCTACACTCGGGCTTACCATGCGGCGCAGCATAGGGAGTCCCTGCAGCACTTACCTTGTCCTTTGCTCCCGCGATGTGTCCCCTGCAGCATCCCCGGCCATCTCCTCCGGCCGATGCCGGCATCCGGCTTCTGTGTTCCGGTCCCTGTGACGCCGGGATGTACGGGCGCCGGCGGGAAATTTGAAAATTTAAAAAAAGTAATTTTTTTTAAAAACACATTTTTCATAGTATAACATTCCTGTTTCAACCCATTTCACATACATTTTGTCCCGAGTGCTTTGTCCGGCGCCCTGCCTGCATTTTGTCTGTTCTTTCTGCCTGGAAACTGAGAAAAGTCCATGGCGTCCAAAAAGCGTCCCTTTAGGTCAAAAGCGGTTTTAGATCAGCTAGAGAACAGCGATAGTAAATCAGAACCACTTGCAGAATTGAGTGATAATGATTCGTGGGGAAATTCGTCATCAGACACTGAAAACGATTCTGCGACTTTGCTCAGTGATGTGCAAACTTGGCGCTATATTTCACATTTCAGTGTTTTCGGTTTGATTATATTATTCAATTAAATTTATTATTATTATATTATTATTTTTTATGATTATTTATTAAATTTTAATTTATGATTTTGTGTTTCAAGTTTTATCATACCCGGGTGTTTAATAGACTCTTGTTCGGACAGATTTCAGTGAGTTATTCCTAAATATTACAGCCTACAATAAAAAAACTACTTATTTCCATGCAAAATAATGGTACCGCTTACCGCTTTCAGCACAAAAAATCTGAAATAATCAGACCGCCAGGGAGGTTAAACATTCCCAACTCTATCCCCCAAATAACTATTGGCTTTAGATATAAAGACGCCTGAAGACACCACAAGGCAGGGGCGGACTGACCGGTAGGGAGCCCCATGAGATGCCCCTGGTACCTTTTTCATAGGCTTTTTTGAGTTTGGGCAAGGACACAGGGGCCCCATGATCCCCTATTGCCTAGGGGCCCCATGAGTTGTCAGTCCGCCCCTGCCACCAGGTGAAAACGTACGTCAAAGAACGAACATGATTCCGTCATATCCAGGCTCCAGTGACGTCACAGAGGCTTGGAACACATGTCCGCCATCTTAATTCAATACACAGGTGATACATGCTGGTGCCGGCTTCTTAGGCTCTGCATTATTCCCTCCTAGCTATACAAATATGAAGTGTGTGTGAAGGAGACCATACGTGGAGGAACCTCTAGACAGTAAAAACACAATGTGATATATGACCACCGTTATGGGGTCATATAGGTCTGGTGAGTGAGCCATTCGTTTGCCTTTGCACCGAGGTTTGGACACATGGATCTTTTTGGCACCATTATTGAGTTCTAAAAAGGACTATTACAAGTTATGTTTATTTAGCACGTGGTGGAAGCAGAAGGACTTTCTATGGAAATAGGACTATATAGTCAATGATTACACTGCATTTTGAATTGTTTGGTTTCTGAATTGTTTGATGATTACTAATTGGTTGTTCATTCACAGTCAACCAATATTCAGCTATCCTATTGGGTTCATAGGGTGAATTTCTATTTTATTTTAAGTACAGCGCCTATCTATTCACTACCAGCCCACATATAAGTGTCACATTCACTTTTTAGGGGCAGCTGAAAAACCCCCTAGGGTATTAAATAATAAAATAACATCATTTATTTTTTATTTCTTGGTTCACTTATAATATTTGGCGCCACAATAATTTATTTTGATTTGTTTAGATATATTTTTGAATATTCAAGAAGAGTCAATATGACATTCCCTTTTTTTTTGTCATGCAAACATAGATTTTACAAGTGAAAATTCAGGATAGATAAACATATAAATAAATAATAGATAAATATTAACTTATTATTATATATAAATATATATAGATAAATAATATCAGATGCATACATTTACACTAGGCCAGGGGCGGACTGACCATTTGGAAACTTGGGCACTGCCCGAGGGCCCGAGGTCAGTAGAGGGGCCCCATGAGATGCCCCTGGTACCTTTTTCATAGGCTTTTTTGAGATTGGGCAAGGACACAGGTGCCCCATGATCCCCTATTGCCCGGGGGACCCCATGAGTTGTCAGTCCGCCCCTGCGCTGGGCTTCATTATATCTACATGTGTTTTTTGGTACATACAGTGCCTTCATTTTTCTCAATTTTGTTATGTTGCAACAGTTGTCTATTTTTTTTTCTCATTAATCTACACTAAGCACCCCATAATGACAAAGTGAAAACAAAATTTGAGAAATGTCTGTAAATTTATGAAAAAGAAAACACGGATAAATCACATTGGCAAGCATTCAGATCTTTTGCAACAACACTTGAAATTTAGCTTGGGTGCCTCAAATCTTTCTTTATTCTTGGTGAGATGTTTCTACACCATGATTGGAGTCCACCTGCGGTAAAATAAATTGATTGGATATGATTTGAAAAGGCACAAACCTCTCTATTAAAGGCCTTACAGCTGACAATGCATTCAGCATCAAAAAAAGATCCATGAGGTCAAAGGAACTGCTTGCAGAGCTCAGAGACAGAATTATTGCAGGGCACAGATTCTGCTGCACTGAAGGTTCCGAAGAGCACAGTGGCCTCCATAAATCCCAAATGGAAGAAGTTTGGCACATCCAGAACGTTTCCAAGAGCTGGTTGCCTGGCCAAACTGAGCAATTGGGGAGAAGGGACTTCATATGAGAGGTGACCAAGAACCCAATGGTCATTCTGACTAAGCTCCAGAGATCCTGTGTGGAGATGGGACAAAGTTTCAGAAGGACAACCATCACTGCAGCCCTCCACTGATCTTGGAGTTTTGGCAGAGAGGCTAGACCACATGAAAGGATTTCTGGAACTCAGTCAGAGTGACCATCGGGTTCTTGGTCACCTCTATTACTAAGGCCATTCTCCTACGATTGCTCAGTTTGACCAGGCAACCAGCTCTTGGAAGAGTCCTGGTTGTGCCAAATTATTCCATTTGAGAACTATGGAGGCCATTGTGCTCTTGAGAACCTTCAGTACTGCAGTAGTTTTTTTTTTTTGGTAGCCTTCCCCAGATCTGTGCTTTGCAAAAATCCTGTCTCTGAGCTCTGCCTGTAGTTCCTTTGACCTCATGGCTTTTTTTTCTGATACATTATGCACTAACACTGGAAAAAAATCACAAGAAAAGAGCTGCTGCCCATAGTGCCCAGTCATAATTCTTTCATTCCTAATATAATAAAAGGTGAAAGCTTGATAAATTGTTCCAGGCAACAGTTTCCCTTGAGTGCTCCTTTTCTTTTCTACACTTTTAATGAATCTACAGTAAGTGCCAGATATGAATTTTATGTAGATCTTCTTCCCAGTGTAAACTCATGCAACTGATTCCACTCTCTAGCCATCGTTTCCCCATTTCTTAATTGTATCCAGTTAATCAGATCTACGACTACTTCCAGAGTGCACAATATCACCTAAAATTGACTGGTTTTATGAGAAACTGGTTGAGTTGCTGCTTGAACTCTGCATTTGGGTTTAATTCATAAATCTTTTACAAAATTGAGCTCTTTGGCATTAAAAGAGGTATAGACTCCACAGAGAGAGATATCATATTTAATAAAAATAATTGCGTTTCCATGTTGTATATACTGTGAGAGACCAGATATAGTGAATGCAGGGTCCAGGGAGACCAGATATAGTGAATGCAGGGTCCGGGGAGACCGGATATAGTGAATGCAGGGTCCGGGGAGAGCAGATATAGTGAATGCAGGGTCCGGGGAGACCAGATATAGTGAATGCAGGGTCCGGGGAGAGCGGACATAATGAATGCAGGGTCCGGGGAGACCGAATATAGTGAATAAAGGGTCCGGGGAGACCAGATATAGTGAATGCAGGGCCCGGGGAGACCAGATATAGGGAATGCAGGGTCCTGTGAGACCAGATATAGTGAATGCAAGGTCCGGGGAGACCGGATATAGTGAATGCGGGGTCCAAGGAGACCGGATATAGTGAATGCAGGTTCCGGGGAGACCATATATAGTGAATGCAGAGTCCGGGGAGAGCATACATAGTGAATGCGGGATCCGGGGAGAGCGGATAAAGTGAATGCGGGGTCCGGGCAGACCAGATATAGTGAATGCGGGGTCCGGGGAGAGCGGATATAGTGAATGCAGAGTCCGGGGAGACCAGATATAGTGAATGCAGGGTCTGGGGAGACCACTTATAGTGAATGCAGGATCCGGGGAGAGCAGATATAATGAATGCAGGGTCTGGGGAGACCGGATTATAGTGAATGCAGGGTCCGGGGAGAGCAGATATAGTGAATGCAGGGTCCGGGGAGAGCGGATATAGTAAATGCAGGGTCCGGGGAGGAGACCAGATATAGTGAATGCAGGGTCTGGGGAGGAGACCAGATATCGTGAATGCAGGGTCTGGGGAGACGAGATATAGGGAATGCAGGGTCCGCTGAGGGAGATCAGATATAGTGAATGCAGGGTCTGGGGTAGACCAGATATAGTGAATGCAGGGTTCCTGGGGAGACCAGATATAGTGAATGCAGTGTCTGGGGAGACAGATATTAGATAATGCAGGGTCTGTGGGAGACCAGATATAATGAATGCAGGGTCTGGGGAGATCAGTATTGTAGTGAATGCAGGGTCTGGGGAGACCAGATATAGTGAATGTTAGGGTCCAGGGAGATCAGAAAATAACTGAATGCAGGGTCCGGGGAGACCAGATATAGTGAATTTGGGGGTCCGTGGAGAGATGGATATAGTGAATGCAGGGTCCGGGGAGACCAGATATAGTGAATGCAGGGTCTGGGGAGACCAAAATATCGTGAATGCAGGGTATCTGGGGAGACCAAGATATAGTGAATGCAGGGATCCAGGGGAGAGCAGATATTAGTGAATGCAGGGCCTGGGGAGGAACGGATATAGTGATTGTAGGGTCCGTGGAGAGTGGATATAGTGAATGCAGGTCCGGGGGGAGACAGATATAGTGAATGCAGGGTCTGGGGAGACCAAATATCGTGAATGCAGGGACTGGGGAGACCTGTATAGTGGAATGCAGGAATCCGGGGTGAGCAGATTATAGTGAAGGCAGGGCCTGGGGAGACGTGATATAGTGAATGCTAGGGTCCGGGGAGAGCAGATATAGTAATGCAGGGTCCGGGGAGAGGCGGGATTAGTAAAAATGCGGGGTCGGGGTGACAGATATAGTGAATGCAGGGTATGAGGAGCCCAGAATAGTGAATGCAGGGTCGGGGGGAGAAGATATGTGAAGCGGGGTGGGGAGCCCGGTATGGAATGCGGGCCCGGGGACAGTATGTGAATGCGGGTCGGGGAGCGGGATATAGTAAAGCGGGTCCGGGGAGACCAGATATAGTGAATGCGGGGTTTGGGGGAGAAGAAAATTGAAGCAGGGTTGGGGGCTTTG